CAATTTTTGTCCAGAATCTTTCTGCACCCCCACAACCCTTTTCCCCTGAGAATTATCAGTCCACTCCCTTTCTATGCCTCTGATTCTATTCACCAGTTTATTCTGTTCTTCAGATTTGCTATTTAGCTCTTACATTTATGTCTTTAAAACCTTTTTAATTATTTTTCATATAGTGAGAGTTACAGACCTAACTTCTTTCTTTTGAATGTGCTTATCCAGTGTCCCAGAACCAGTTGTTGCCTATAACAAGCATTTCTTACTTTTGCAAAATGTGAAGTAAAAGCCTGAAGTGGTAGTTGCTAGAATGGCAAAGGGAAGGTGTTCTTCCGGGTAGCAGGAGACTTCAGACTGAAGAATGAGCAAGCATTGCCAAGGAAAAGAGGATCATAACAGGGAGGCAGTAACTGCTAAAATGGGCCGATGGGGTGAGAAAGGGTTGATAAAAGCATAGACAGAGGATCCAGCTGAAGAACATTGCTTTTGTCAAAGTACAATAGAAAGTGTAAGAATAGCCGCTTAACTATTGCTGGTAGGAAGGAGGTTAAAAAGATCTGAAGCAGAAAGTAGGTTCTCTGTGGGTGTTGGGTTCCAGTGTGGAATAGGAAATGTCTTACCAAGATATATTTACCCCTCGCTCATTTGGCTCAGTGGATAGAGGGTCAGCCTGCAGACTCAAGGGTTTCAGGTTTGATTCCAGTCAGTGTGCCTGGGTTGTAGGCTCCACCCCCAGTAAGGGTCTTGCAGGAGGCAGCCAGTCGATGATTTTCTCTCATCATTGGCGTTTCTATATTTAGTCTGACACTATATTAGACCACTTGCCAGTCTTTTGTTGCAGTTATCTATAAAAGTTATGTCAGTAGTTGGTTAAAAATATCAAATTATCGATAGGCAGAAAACATAGGTACATTATCCTACTATATTAGTTCTACATACTTCCATGCTACATTAGAAATTTTGTCAGATTTTGGGAGAAATAAGTTCTTAGTATATTTATCAACTATATCCTTCATAACAATAAAACTCTTTATCCTTCCTATTTCTGCTACACTGAGACATTCTACTCAGCCAGTCCCAATAAATTTGCAAGAGATAATCAGATAAATAATTATGCTAAAATAAAATAAGTATTAGATTAGTTCTAAGAAGTCTTCAGGATTCATTTATTTATTCAGCAAATATTTATTGAGCATTTTCTGTGTGCCAGGCACTGTAATAGGTTCTACAGATAAAGTGATGAGAGCAAAATCAGGCAGCATTTACATGTATTGGGAACTAGTAGTTAAATGAAGACATGTTACCTTAATCAAATAACAAATTAATGTACAATTACTGTGCTAAATGGTACAGCGGGAGGATATATAGTATATAAGAACATATAGGGGCAGCTGCCTGCTCTACTGTTGGGTGCATGAAGGTAGCGTCTTCCCGAAGAGCTGCCAGCTGCAGGCCGTTGGCAGCTCCAGGTTAATGGAGGTGGGGAGAAGCCCAGGATCATGCTAGGGCTAAAGGGCACCGTTCTCCACCCTCCCAACCACTAGCGAGAGGCCATAGTAGCATTCAGCAGGTGCCCACCAAAGTCACCGTGAGCTGTGAAGTACAAAGGTATAAAGAATTTTACTTCATTTCATCAAAGAAAATGTTAAGAGTATATGCAGGCAAAGACACTGGGAAAGAAGTGGTGTGTCAACAGACCTCCTCCTTTTGAGGAAATAGGCTGAGGAGGATTCCCACTGGGTTGGGGTGCTCTGAGCCTTGCAGCATATGGCAATGGGGTAGATGACCTGTCATAGATGATCTGGGCTGTGGTAGGTAAGGTGCTGGCAGCTGTCCCTAGCCCGAAAGACCATGGTTCTGAAATAACGCAGGGCTGCAGGTGGGTGAGGGGAGCAGCGTTCTCTGGAGATGGAGTTGTAATTAGGAAAGGCAGAGGGGTTGGAGTGAAGGTGTATAGCTCTTCAGAGTGCATAGAGGCACAGAAACATGGGTGTTCTACCGAGGAAGCTATTCTTGAGCTTTGTTGATAGTTACTTTGGCACCAAGATTGGGCATAAGTGGAGAATCAAAGTTACTGAAAGATGCAAACAGCATTGGGTGCTCACGTCAACAACACCTTGTTTCTGACACAGCACTCTAAGGTGCGATTTTCAGACCTCTTCACTTCATGGCCCACACAGACTAATTACGGAAATTCTGTGGCACCACAAAAAAAGTGTTTTTTGTTGATTTGACCAAAAAGGTTTAATTTTGATTCATTCACACTGGATGGTTATTGTGTTGGCAGGTGTCCTTTTTAACATTTACTTTTTATTTGACAGTCTAAGGGAAGAGAGGTCAGTGGCCCTGACTAGTCAGGTATTGCATGTTTAAAAATTCAGTTGAAAATCGCTGCTCTTAGAGGCTAGTGCTGCTGAGGAAGTGGACATGCAGGTAGGCAGTAAGACATGGCAATGTGGTGTTAATAGGAGAAAACGTGGCAGTCAAATTGGAAAGGAAGTCTTGCTATTTTAAAAACCGTAAATGTTACAAAGGTATATTTTTAACAATTACCGCTGTTTAATTGTGAGGGGAAAATTTAACTGCATTTTACAATATTTCCCTACATATACAAAAAAAAAAAATATTTGCTTGTGCTCTAAAAGAGGGCAAAATTAGAGAACTCATTTCTGTCTTGAACAACTGAGTATCTGATACTTAAGGACAAAATTGCTAATCATTAATGCACTCACAGCAAACAATTGCCTTACCAATGAAAAAGGTTCATTAATGTGGTTCTTGTCCTGTCAATAATAATAATAATAATAATAGTTATTATTATTATTATTATTATTATTATTATAGATTTTATAGTGGTCTTTCTGGCAACTTCCTACCATAGTTACTATTTAAAAAATGATTTTACTGAAATGAAGTCAGTCCATGAAAAAAAATCCTAATATATTTTCCTCTGAAATGGATGTGAGAAATGTAAATTTATAGCACTCTCATTTTCATGCTATGATTAGTAGTAACTACTTCCTCTTCCTCAAAAAAAAAATTAGGAAGCTTTGACAGAGCATGGCATGGGGAAGAGTCAAGGAAGAAGAGATGACAAGAGTGATAACCCAAAAGCTTCACTTTGCCAAGTGAAAAGGCTGTTCTGGGAGGAGAGAGGAGCCTGTGCCACTCGCCTTAGGGCTAGCGGAGCCTGTTTTTGAAGTGCTGCTGGGCCCAGCATGGGGGGGGGGGGGGGGGCGGGCAGGGAGGCGGGAGGTGGTGGTAGAGTCTGTAAGGGAGACCAGAGGGAGCAGCCAGAGACTGAAGGGACTGGAGAATGAGTGAACGAGGAGTTTTTTAAGAAGGAGGGACATTGTAATATGTTACCGGAAGAGCAAATACAAGGAGAATTGGAAAATCTAGTTAGTAGAATTGTGGGTGATATTAGTAAGACCTTTTTTTGATGGAATAGATTGAGAAATGAGTCTCTGAAAAAGTTGACTTGAAGAGGGAGGAGAAAGAGGTTGGCAGCTGGAAGGAGATGAGCTAAGGGGAAAACTTTTAAATGTTATTTATTTAATGGGAGAGACTTAAGCTCAGTTAAAAGCTGTGGGAGGAATTATAGAGAAGGGAAATTAATTATATAATAGAGAAAGGACTAATCAGTTACTTATGCTCCTAAAATGCAGGAGAAAGTAGAATCTAAGGCAGAGAATTCGCCTTAGATAATGGAGAGAAATCTCTTGGAGCTGTAATGAAGGAACTAGAATGAACTAAAAGGAACAGGTAGATGCAAATGTAGGTAGATGATATGGTTTCTGTTTTCTCAGTGAGGTAGGAGATATGCTATCTTTTGAGTGCAGGGAGAGGCTGAGGTGGGTTGGGGTTCAGTATAGGAGGGAGTAAGAGCTAGGGCCCTTTGAAGTTGGTGATGCTTTCCAGTGGAGCATACCCACCCTGTTCATGCCTTTCTTCAGTAGGGCTCCATGACCAGGTGTAGGTGTGGAGAAAAGTTCATTCAGGACTGAGTTTTTGCCAGATAGTTGAATCGAAGCTTTTAGCAAGAATATGTTGAGCCCTGGTTGGTGTTGCTCAGTGGTTGGAGTGTCAGCCATTCCTAGTTAAGGGCACATACCTGGGTTGCAGGTTCAAGGCCCGCCCTAATCTGGACACATGCGGGAGGCAACCAGTTGGTGTCTTTTTCACATTGATGGTTTTTTTCTCTCTCCCCCTTTTCATCCTCTCTCCCTTCCACTTTCTCTCTCTCTCTCTAAAAAAAAAAAGTCAATGGAAAAAATATCCTTGGGTAAGGATTAACCAAAAATTTTTTTATTAATTTATGCAAGTAACGTGAATTTTCTTTTTCCTTTTTTTTTTTTAAATAGTATATATTTTATTGATTTTACACAGAGAGGAATTGAGAGGGACAGAGAGTTAGAAATGTCGATGAGAGAGAAACATCTACCAGCTGCCTCTTGCACACCCCCCACTGGGGATATGCCCGCAACCAAGGTACATGCCCTTGACCGGAATCGAACCCGGGACCTTTCAGTCCGCAGGCTGACGCTCTATCCACTGAGCCAAACCGGTCCCGGCTGAATTTTTTTTTCTTATAAGATATTAGCATTGTATAAATCAGGCCTCAAACGCTATGATTTCCACTCCAGTCAATTCCCATACCTTACTTAGAAGGAACAGTTGTTTTAAGTTTGGTATGGATTTTTCCAGAAAACAAAAAAATTCTCAATGTAAATAGCACTCTATAGGCTTCTTAAATTAATCTACTTATTTTCATAGAAACCATAATGAGGTTAACTTTTCCTTTCTAGCTTCTAAACTGTAAAATATAAAATGTTTTGGTAAAAAATGCAACATTTATTAGTAAAATCATATCAAACAAGCAAATCAACTAAATGCCCATAGATAAGGACTTAATGTCCCATATATTACAGCTTTTTAAATGACAGCTATTGATCTTCATGTATTGAAACATTATCATCAATAAGACTGTTTCTTCTTGCTCTTAGTGCCTGGCTCTCTGGCTATGAAAACCCTGTGGTGTCTCGAATTAATATGAGAATACAAGACCTAACAGGACTAGATGTTTCCACAGCAGAGGAATTACAGGTGGGTAATCACATTATCTCTGAATTATATGCTATCACACTGTCCTTAAATTAACTATATTTTTTCAAAAATGCTTCAGATGAGATTTCCTAATATTGCACAGGCAGTACTCAATTTAATCACAAATAGTGATTTTAATAATCAGTGGGAAAATTGTATTATTGTTCTGTATTAAAAATTTATCAAAACATTAAAAACTCTTGCCCTAGCTGGTTTGGCTTAGTGGATAGAGCACCAGCCTACGGACTGAAGGGTCTCAGGTTGATTCCAGTCAAGGGCACAAGCCCGGATTGTGGGCTGGGTCCCCAGTAGGGGCTGCGCAGGAGGCAGCCCATCAGTGATTCTCTCTCATCATTAATGTTTCTTTCTCTCCCTCTCCTTTCCTCTGTAAAATCAATGAAACAAATATTAAAAAAAGACCATAAAAAACTCTTACTGTTGAGTATAAATTTATAGGGAAATGAAAAAAATGTAACACTAATATTTATTAAGCACACTGTACTGTGTGTACTTTTCATTCCTAGGCCTGTCTGGTAACCAGGGCAGTTCTTTTTTTTTTTTTTTCTTAATTTTTTTTCTTTTCTGTTGAGACATAATTCATGTGCCATAAGATTTACACTGGTTTTGTTATCGGAAAGAGAACCTGACCTTTGTGCAACCACCAATACTATCTAATTCCAGAATATTTTCATTTCCCCAGAAAGAAGCCTCATATACTTTAAGTACAGGCATACCTTGCAGATATTATGGGTTCGATTCCAGATCACAGCAATAAAGCAAAGTATCACAATAAAGTAACCTCACAACAATTTTTTGTCTCCTAGTGCATATTAAAGTTATGTGTACACTATTCATAGTCTATTAGGTGTACAGTAGCATTATATATATACAAAGCAATGTACATTCCTTAATTTAAAAATACTTTATTGCTAAAAATGCTAACTTATTTGAGTTTTTAGCAGTATTTTTGCCTCAATGTTTAAAATGACTGTAAACTGATCATGGTGGTAGTGGCAATTTCTTAAAATAAGACAACAGTGAAGTTTGCCACATTGATGGACTCTTCCTTTCATGAATGGTTTCTCTGTAGCAAGCACTGTTGTTTGATAGCATTTTAACCCTTGTAGAACTTCTTTCAAAATTGGAGTCAATCTCTCAAATCCTGCCTCTGCTTTATCAATTAAATATATGTAATATTCTAAATCCTTTGTTGTCACCTCAACATTCTTTGCTCATCCATAAAAAGCAACCCTGAAATTGCAATATTTCATTATCATGAGATTGCAGCAGTTTAGTCACATCTTCCGGCTTCACTTCTAATTCTAGTTCTTCTGCTATGTCCACCACATCTGCAGGGACTTCCACTGAAGTCTTAAGCTCCACAAAGTCATCCATGAGCATTGGAATCAATTTCTTCCAAACTCCTCTTAATGTTTTTACCTCTTCTCATGAATCACAAATGTGGGTTTTTTCCCTCCACAGTACACACACACACACACACACACACACACACACACACACACACATATCCTTATAGTTATCCTACATATATTTTTATACTTTTTTCTTTTTAATAATTTTTTAAAAATTTATTGATCATTGATTTTTAGATAGAAAATTTATTGATTAATTTTTAGTTTGAAAGAGAGAAAAAAAACACATCAGTTTGTTGCTTCATCCATTCATACATTCATTGGTTGCTTCTTTTATGTGCCCTGACCAGGATTGAACCTGCAACCTTAGTATATTGGGATGATACTCCAACCAACTGAGTGACCCAGTCAGGGCAATAATTTTTTATTTTTAAATTAAAGTTGATGTACAATATTATATTTACATTCAGGTGTACAACCCAGTGATTAGAAGTGATCACCCTGATAAATTTATACCCATCTGACACCATAAATAGTTATTACAATATTACTGGCTGTGTTCCCTCTGTTGTACTTTATATCTCCACGACTATTCTGTGATTACCAGGGTGTATTCTTTTTTTTTTTTTTAAATCAATCTTTATTGTTCATATTATTACAAAGGTTCCTCATTTCTTCCCCCTTCCACCAAGTTCCCACCCCACCCTCTGCCCCCTCCCCATCCCCCATTGTCCTCATCCATAGGTGCAGTTTATGTTCAGTCTCTTCTTCCCTCAATTTCCCCAATAGTAAATCCCTTTTCAGATAGTAAATCAGTTACTTAGCATTTTCTCATATCAATAATACCTCCACATGCCAATTGATACACTTCACACAAAAGACATTTCCCACTAGGTCAACCAGCCTCATCCAGGCCCCACCCAAGGCACTCACAGATCAACACCCCAGTCCTAAACTAACTCAACACATCCAGATCTAAGCCTTCATCACTTGATTCAGCAGACCCTCAAGTTCCCACGAAAGTTTCCAGCCATGTCTGAGAAGCAGCCATGGGGCAGGGGCAGGCAAGGAGCGAGTTGTTCCGGGCCTGGCTGCTCAGGGCCTGGCCTCTGTTACTCTGGTTCATTCCACAACCAGCTGCTCCGGGTCTGGTCACTGCCGCTCCCGACCTAGTTGCTCTGGACTTGGCTGCTGCTGCTCCGGGCCTGGCCGCTCCCAGCCTGGCAGCCGCTGCTCCGGGCCTGGCCGCACAGGGTGTATTCTTAATCCCTTTACCTTTTTTAGCCATCCTGCTAATCCCTCTCCCATCTGACAACTATTAAAATGTTCTTTGTACCTATGAGTCTGTTTCCGTTCCAATTGTTCATTTATCTTCTATTTTAGCTCCCACATTTAAGTGAAATCATATGGCGTTTGTGTTCATTCTTAGCACAATACCCTCTAGGTTTGTTGCAGATGGCAAGATTTTATTCTTTTATATATTTATAAATTTCAGAGAGGAGGGTAGAGGGAGAAAGAGAGAGAAACATCAATGACAAGAGAGAATCATTGATTGGCTGCTTCTACATGCACCACACTAGGGATCAAGCCCACAACCCAGGCATGTGCCCTAATTGGGAATTGAACTGTGACCTCCTGGTTCATCGGTCAATGCTCAACCACTGAGCCAGGCCGACTGGACCTATGTCCTTTTAATGCTTACTATTTATTTTTACCTAGATCTGTGGTCAGCAAACTGCGGCTCACGAGCCACATGCAGTTTTTTGGCCCCTTGAGAGTGGCTCTTCCACAAAATACCACGGCCTGGGCGAGTATATTTTGAAGAAGTGGTATTAGAGGAAGTTTAAATTTAAAAAATTTGGCTCTCAAAAGAAATTTCAATTATTATACTGTTGATATTTGGCGCTGTTGACTAATGAGTTTGCCGACCACTGACCTAGATCATCCATTCTTAAGGTCCTTGAGCATTCTTATAGCCATTATTTTGAACCCTGCATCTGGTATCTTGGTTACCGTACTTCCATTTCATTTAATTCTTTTTCTGGAGATTTCTTTTTCATGTGGGGCATGTTTCTTTGTCTCCCCACTTTGTTTTTTTTTTTTTTTTTTCCTCTGTGTATTAGGTATATCAGCCATGACTCCCAAACCTGTTATGGTGCTTTTATGTTGTAGGTGTCTTATGGGGCTCAGAGGTGTAATCTTCTAGATCACCTGAACTGAATGTTCCAGGAATAGCTCTTGTGCAGATTGTGCACCCTCCTGTTGTAGTTGAGTCTTGAATGCTGCTGGTTTGGTTTTGGGTGGGGTTAACCCTCAGGCTGGCTGTCCATAGGAAAGATCTCAGTCACAGTGTATGCAGCCACTGTGCAGGGGCTGCCCCTGAGGTGGCGTTGTTCCCAGCAGGGTCTGGTGCCTAGCAGGACCCCTCTTGGGGTATGTCACTTGTGTGGCTAGTTGGGTGAGCTCTGGTGTGGTCTAAAGCCCACTATTGGTGTGTTCGTTCTGGGTCCACTTGGGTGGGGTTCTGGTACAGGTCAATGTCAGATGCTGCCTGGGATACCTATCTGGAGTTACCATGCAATTTCCTGTTTGTGGCTGCTGCTTCTGGGCCTGAGTGTGGGTGGCAGGGGCCAAGCTGTGAATAAGGGCTGGCTTTATCCAGTTCTGAGCTGGAGGCAGATCAACAAAAGGTCCAAAGCACCCTAAGGTCCACATCTACCTGTTGGCCACTCCACCACCCCCTGAGGTTGCCTGGTCTTCCTTGAGAGCCTTCTGAAGAAAGACCAGAGTGGGCCCAGGCTGACTGCTCCCCACAGACCCTTCCAGTAGGCATGAGCTCCATGGGGCAGAGTGGGGTCGGGAGGACAGGGCTAGTGGGTCTCCTGCTTGGAGGTAGCATGGTCAGGCAGTTATTGGGGGGAAAGTGGCCCCACTCCATAGCTTCTCAGTCTCTGCTAGAGTCTCTAACCCCAGCTCCCCTAGGAGGAGTGCAGGAGCAAGATCAGCATGGCAGAGCCAGAAGGACAGGCCGGATGAGTCTCCTGTTGGAGCCATAGTACTGACTCAGGGGGTTGGGGTAAAAATGGCACCTTGTGCCATAGCCACACAACCCAGCACCTGCCTGAGTCCTGGACAAGAGCCTCCCAGGGAGATGTACACTGACGGCCCCAGGCCTGAGCAGCACTCGGATCCCCCCTGTGGGACTGAGCAGGGCAGGGCCACTGGGAGTCGTAAGGAAAAGATCAGGTAGGTGGGCACCAGCTGAGTGGGGGAGTGGGGGGGAAGAATGGCCCTTGTTCCAAAGCTACACAGCTCAATGACTGAGTCTCCACCGATCGCTTCTTAGAAAAAGAGTGCACCAAAGGTCTGGTTGGTGCAGCCAGCAGATCTCTCTGCAGGTATAGAGCTCATCAGGTGGTGCCAGTAGTTGAAGGACTGGGCTAGTGCACTCCCCGGCTGGTGCTGTAAGAATAGGAGTGCTTGACCCTGGGATGATGGCGCCTGAGGGCGGTGTGGGAGAGGGACTCAGCACAGGGACCTCAGGGCGATGCCACCCAGATCTTCTTTTTGACCCCCCTATGCCCTGAGTCACCTTCCCTCTACCAGAGCCCCAGGTGTCTGGAAGAAGTGCCTGTGCATTGGCCCTTTAAGAGAGCACCCGGCTTCTAGAGGACTTCCTCCAGGATGAGAGTCCGCTGCTTTCCTCAGCCAGGTGCCATGTGGGCTCCTCTTCCTGGCTCTGGGGTCTCGGTTAGGGATCCTGGCATTGGGTGGGGCCCATGCTCCTCACGAGGACTTTTGCAGCCAAAGGTGGTTCTCAGCTGCCACCTGTGGGTGCAGGGCTAGCAGCCCTTTTCGTGTCTGAGCCCTCCTACCGGTCTCTCTGTGGCTTCTCCTGTGAATCCTTTGTTATACTTCTGTGCAGCTGGCTATTTAGGTTGATTGCTAATTTAGCTGTAAATCTGGTTTGGCACTGAGAGGAGGTGAGTGTGGCTTCCACCCACTCCGTGGCCATTTTCAAAATATGTATAGAGTTTTTGAACAGCAAAGGTAGAAGCATTTCCTGTAGCTATTTTTTTCTAAATTTCCATTTAAGTTTGATTTGAATTTCACTTAAAGCATTATTGCTTTCCATTTCTGTTGTATTTTATCTTTGTTGGGCAATTCCCTTCTCCAATTATATATTCTTGTAAAATATCACATGGGTTTTCCCTGAGAGATAAGGGGGCAACATAATTGCATGATTTGCTGCCTGCATATTATTCATGCAGTACGTTATTCAGTATGTTATACCGCATAATAGATGTGCAGTGATAATCACGGATAGACTTTGAAAGAAGGGATGTGATTGGTCATTGATCATGATGTGAAGCTGTTATTTACATAGGAACCTGGGGACTGAAGACCTTGCAGTGACATTCGTACTTTATACATTACTCACAATGTACATGGCCAAATTTCAACTGTGTGTTGGGGTCTGGTGTTAATGGTTAGCTAACCATGTTATCTGAGATTTGTGCATTTTGGAATGGGGCAAAGCAGGACTGCCTATATTTAAATTTGTTCAATTAAGTTGTCAATTATTCCTAGAAACTCTTTGATATATATTTTTCTTTCCCTGTTTAACCTTCACATGCTCTTTTAGGCTACTTGATGTATTTCTATTATACTTAGTAGGCTGATCCAGCTCAAGATGTCTGTAACATAAGTTTACTATGCAGAGTAATAGTAATTTATGTAGGACTTGGACTTTGCTATGGGCAACACTCTTGTAATTATTTTCTCACTTCACTTCATCATCATTACTCTTGTTTGTTAATCCTCACTTGATATTTTTTCCACTGAGAGTGGAAGAGAGAGGGATAGATAGAAACACTGATGTGAGAGAAACACATCAATTGGTTGCCTCCTGCATTCACCAGGGCCCGGGCTGAGGAGGAGCCCGCAACCAAGGTACGTGCCTTTGACTGGAATCGAACCCAGGACTCTTCTGTCTGCAGGCCACCGAGCCTAACCAGCTAGGGCTGATTAGCATTACTCTTTACATTTTCCTTTTATTTTTGTCAGCATTTTTCATATTGGGATGAAAGGAAGATGTCATATTTCTCATTTTACAAGTGAAGTTTTATTCAAAGTTATAACTGAGAAAGCTGGAAATGGAACTTAGACCAAATGTTTTTCTTAACTAACTCTCTTTTTACACTAGGACAGTGTTTCCCAAACTTTTGACATATGTGTACCCCTTCTATAATTTTCGTAACGCTGAGTATCCCTCGCACTCATAAGAACGTAGAATTAGGCGCAGCTAAGCACGGTGCAGTGCACATCCCCACCAAACTCCGGTGCAACGCGTACCCCCTAAGTTTGTCAGCATTTTGGGCTTTAGAAAATAAGTCTTTATTTAAATTCCAAAGGAAAGTGTTTAGTGAAAATTAATCATAGGACCTCATAATTCTAGTTCTAGAAAATTTTAATTCTAATTCAAAATTTAGTTTGTTATATATTAAAGAAAAATATGTCCCTTCAACATTGCTAAAGCATATTAATTAAGGCTCTACAATAGCATATAGTAGCTATCTAGTTTTTCATCTTTGGTTTGTTAGGAGCTCTAATTGATTTCCAATGCTTTGCTTCTCATTTCTCTTGAAGTTCCTAACCATGATATATGAGGCCAAAATGGGGCTGGTAGATGTTTTGAATAGTCATCTTGGTAGTTCATTCATGGTTTGTTTCTCTCTTTCAGGTAGCAAACTATGGAGTGGGAGGACAGTATGAACCCCATTTTGATTTTGCACGGGTAAGTAAAAACAATAGGGGATGTAGTTCCACTGAAGCTTAGGTATGACATGTTAGTTGCCTAGCCCAAGTGCCATCAGGAGATGAGTGGATAAAAGCTGTGGTACATGTGCACCATGAATACTACTTGGCCATACAAAAGAAGGGAATCTTACTCTTTGAGACAGCATGGATGGACCTGGAGAGCATTCTGCTGAATGAAATAAGGCCATCAGAGAAATACAAGTAATGTATGATTTCACTCATATGTGGAATCTAATGAATAACGAGCCAAATAGAGACGACTCATAGAGAGCAGGCTGATAGCTGGGAGAGTGGAGAGATTGAGCAAAAATGGAAAAAGAGAAAATTCATGGACAAGGTGATTGTTGGAGGTGGAGGAGGGTATAGAGGGGATAGATGGTGATGGAAGGAGACTTGATGGGGTGGTGAACACACAGTACAGTGTACAGGTGATGTGGTGTAGAATTGTGCACCTGAAACCTAGTGCCACCCCAATAAATTAAAAAAAAAAAAAAAAAAAAAAAAAAAAAAACAGGAAAAAATTCCATGCCTATTTGGAATTTGTGGATGGATGGTGGAATAAATATTCTGTAAAGCCTTTTTAGCAGTAAAAAAAAAAACACACCTAGATGCACAATAAAATAATTAAGAATCGTTTTAAATGCATTGCTGAACCTGGAAGAAAAGAGGAAATTCCCAAAGACAAACGGAACAAAGAAAACCTAGAGACTAAAATTAGAGGGTAAAAAGGGATAAAGAAGCTGAGGCTAAAGCATGTATTCCAGGAATCTAGAGTCTTGGGGATTGGCTACTTAGTGTGAGCTACTGAACCCGAGACCCTGCATAAAACCTAATCTCCAGAAGGATTACACCTTCAGAGAAAGACAGAATGGCTTTGGAAATAATCTGCTTTGAGTCAGGAGCCGTAAGGAGAGTTGCCTCTCACCAGCCTAGCTGGAGTGCGGTGTGTCTGGGGAGCTGCTTGTGGGAGTGAAAGCATGGGCTGCCTTCGCATTAGCTCAGGTTTCAGTTTGTCCTCCCCGGGAGAGGAAACGTTAATTCAAAGTTGTTCAACTTAGTAGTGTTCCTTGGTATTTCACTCCCTGAAGAGAAGCATTTTGAGAATTTTAAAGATTAAGTATCTAAATACAAACTCATTTTTTTAAAAAAAAATGACTAAGTGGTAATAGGACACCATTGGTGAGACTAAAGCAACCAACAGATTGAGACACTTGTAGGATATTAGATACTTGAATTACCAGGTGCAGAATATAAAATAACTATATAACATTAAGAAAACAAAAGGTAGGATAAAATTAACCTCTCAAAATGATTTAACATATTTGAAAAGTTAAATTTTGAAATTTAAAATTTAGTAGATAAGTTAGAGACAGCTAGGCAAATAAGTGAACTGGCCGATAAAGCTAAAGATTCCAAGAATACGTTTTGAGAAACAGGAAGATAAAAAATATAAAACAGGTATAAAAGGCTGGAGAATAAATAGTATCAAAGCAGGATGCTAAAAAGCTGTCATTGCCTAAATATTCCTAAGATGAATAAATATTGGATCTTTTAACATATTAAGCTATAAAGTATGGGGGAAGCTAAAACTACAGATGTTGATGTTTTAAATATTTTGTGAATAGTAGCTATTTGTTCTCATTATTTAGATAATAAATCTGTTCCCCCTAAACCCAGGGGTTTTATCAAAACTAATCAGTGTACAAGCTGAACCAACAATTTGAATGCCTACTGCCACTGTGCATTAGATATTATATAGGAACCTTTTGGGGTTGTTTTTGGTATACCCTTCAGCATATTACCCATGTTTAGTTGCCACTAGAAAATTTGCATTACTGAATTTTTCACCATTAAATTAGTTTTTTTTTTTTTTTTTTTTTATAGAAAGACGAGCCAGATGCTTTCAAAGAGCTGGGGACAGGAAATAGAATTGCAACGTGGCTGTTTTATGTAAGTTATAGCTAAAATTTTTATTTTAAGTTGGGACTTGACCACATGACTCTTATTTTGATGTGTTCAGATGTTTGCTCTTATAGTAAAAGGAGTTAAAAATATTTTTTTCAATTGTAATATTACAACCTGAAGACGGAAGTTAACATTACTGATAGTTTTACTACTTGGAGACAGTCACTGTTTAGTCATCTATGTGTATATAAGCTGCTTCATATGTTCATCTGAATTTCATAATGTTTTTGTCTACTTTTCTGATAGGATATATATATCAACAACAAATTTTCAGAGTGAACACCTCATATAGTTAGCATCTTAGACACCCATCAAGGGAACCATTCTCACATTATTAAAGCTTCAAAACAGTGTGCTCTTTAAGTATATATTGATACATATAGAAAAAATTAATTTATTATATAATACTTGGCGTAGTTCACTATTGCTGCATAACAAATCATCCCAAAACTGAATGGTTTAAAATAATGTTATTTATTTTTTGAGATTTTTATTGATTTCGGAGAGGGAGGGAGAAAAACCAGTGATGAAAGAATCATTAATTGGCTGTCTCCTGCATGCCCCTACAGGGGATCGAGCCTGCAACCTGGGCATGTGTCCTGACCAGGAATTGAACCAATACTTCCTAGTTCATAGGTCAATGCTCAACCACCAAGCTACTCTGGCCCGGCTGTTTAAAATTATTTTATCTTTCATAGTTTCGAGGCTCACTGGGTTTTGCTTTGGTTCTTCTGGCTCTCTCATGTGTGCAGTCAGATGATGATGAGAGGTAGGGTCCATCTTGAAGGCTGACATTGAGGCTGGCTGTTGGCCAGAAGACATCCATGGGGCTTGGGCTTCCTCACATGGTGACTGCAGGAACAGGTGTCCCCCCAAAACAGGCAGAAGTGTGGGGCACTTTCAGTACCTATCCTCAGAAGTCAGAGAGTGTCACTTCTGCTCTATTTTATTAATTGAGGCAACTGCAAAGGTCTGCCAAGGTTTGGGGAGGGTGGGTGTACACAGACCTAGCCACTCAAGAAGAATGTCATTGTCATGCAAGAGTATTATATTTGGCAGTGTTGTAATCTTTGTTAACCTTAGCCTGGCTGGGTGGCTCAGCTGTTTAGAGCATCGTCCTGTACACTAAAATGGTTGTGGGCTCAATTCGAGGTCAGGGCACATACCTAGGTTGCAAGTTCAATTCCTAGTTGAGGTGAGTACAGGAGTAAACTGACCGTTGTTGCTCTCTCACATCAATGTTTTTCTCTCTTTCTCCCTTCTCTCTGTAAAATTGATAAATATATCCTTAGGTGAGGATTTTTTTTAAGTTAATTTTCCATTCCCCTACCTCTCTTCCCCCTTAAATTATATAACTACTACTCTTCCCCCTTAAATTATATAACTACTAAATTTTATAACTACTAGAGGCCCGATGCACAAAGTTTGTGCAAGCATAGCCCCTCACAGCCATTACCCTCTGAGGGGCGATTGATCGCTAAGCCCCTTCCCCCCGTTGATCGTCCTGCAGAGGGTGGTGGCAGCTGGGGCTGCCTTCAACCCCACTTCCCGCCTGCTGATTGTTCCAGAAGATCATTCCACTATCCAGTCTAATTAACATATTTGCTCTTTATTATATAACTATTGTATCTCACTCCCTACCACCTTCCCTGTATCCAACCCAACCTCTTCATCCTCCTCCACTATTTCCATCTTCTCATAACTCCATTTTGTTTTAAAAAAGATCTGAGATGCCATTGGAGGAGGGAGGAGTTTAAGGTGCCATCAAAAAAGGATTCAGACTTATAAATAAGTGAGAGCAAATTATCACAGAGGGAAAACCAGGAGAGAAGTGGATGCATTATATAAAATTTATGCTGTGAGTCTTCTCTATTTTTTAGAGGTGAACTCTCCAGAGATTGTATCAATTTATAAGCCACCTTTAAGTGTGATATTTGTCAAACTTCTTGATCTGTACCCCTTTCACTGATCAGATTGGCAGTTAGTGAAATGCAAATTAAAACCACACTAATTAGGGAGATTGTGAATTTTTTCAGATGTTTAAGAGCCATAAAACATTTGTTTTGGCTGTATTTGTTTCTTTGTTTTATGAATATCATGATGCTATATTATTTGACTATTAGAGTATGTTAGACTAATTATACCCCCTTCTAAATCACATAACATTTTGATTAGATTAATATTCAGTTCCCCTTATTTGAATATTATTCCTAGGTGAGCCATATAATTTCTCCAAAGTTATATATATATATATATATATATATATATATATATATAAAGGAAATAAGTATTTTTACTGATTTCAGAGAGAAACATATTCTTTGTTACTGGTTATATATTTTTCATGGTAAAATACTCTTTTCTCTCACTTAATGCTTTTTACCTTTAGACTGCATCTGATATTAAGGTCAGTCTGTTCAGAGGGATCCAGCCTGCAAGGGCGGTGTGGTTTGGTCTGGGATCACCACAGCGGTGGAAGTTCACCTTCTCTCTTTCCTAGTCCTTCCATGTTGGCCCACAACATGGGACTCTGAGAAAGGGCCTTGGTACCTGTTGGTCACAGAGTCCTGTTAGCCTCCGTGAGGCCTGCTTCCCCCAGCACATTCTCTCTGAGCACAGCTCTGAGTGTCAGACTCACTGCCCAGTGTGTTCATTCCTGGCTCGCTCCACTTCTGTTCACAAGTGACATGCTTTAGGAATGAAGGCCCGGGCTATGAGTCCTGTCCCCCAGCCTCCTGCCACTCCTCTTGGGGACAGTCCTCCTATGAACACACAGTTTGTGACCCTTTGGCAAATATTAAAGGAAACACCTACTTCTTGGTGTTTTCTTTGTACAGTGTTTGCCTGGCAAACCTTATGTTGTCAGTGTTTGTAAGTCCCTCGTGTTAGATGTGACACAGCATAGAGTGGGGTTTAATCTGTCGATACCTTCTATTTTTTGAAAAAGCACTTTAGCATTTGTTTCCTTTTCCATGTTTGTGCATGTGCTTCAGTTAATTTGGAATGTTTTCATTTTAGGTTACCTTTAAGACTAACTTTAGAATCCTTTCATCTTCTACTTCTCAGTTAATATATGCTGATTCTCTACCATCATGGTCAGCAAACTGCAGCTCACGAGCCACATGCGGCTCTTGGCCCCTTGAGTGTGGCTCTTCCACAAAATACCACGGCCTGGGAGAGTCTATTTTGAAGAAGTGGCGTTAGAAGTTTAAAAAATGTGGCTCTCAAAAGAAATTTCAATCATTGTACTGCTGATATTTGGCTCTGTTGACTGATGAGTTTGCTGACCACTGCCCTACCACATGAAATGACAAAACTGATTATTGTTATTTTTCTCTTGGCTTTTATTTCATTTACTGAGCACCTACTATTCTTTTTTTAAAAAAATATATTTTATTGATTTTTCACAGAGGAGGAGAGAGGGATAGAGAGTTAGAAACATCGATGGAAAAGAATCATCAATTAGCTGCCTCGGTACATGCCCTTGACCGGAATCGAACCCGGGACCTTTCAGTCCGCAGGCCGACGCTCTACCGCTGAGCCAAACCAGTCCCGGCGCACCTACTATTCTTGATACTGTTCACCAATGAACAAAACATGAAAATTCCTTCCCCTGGAGATTATATTCTAATGTAATAAGATATGTATTACACTCCTGTATTACTTGGCTTACCAGTTTTGTTATTTTTTAATTTTACTGATTTTCTATGGAGAGGACAGGAGAGGTATAGACAGAAACATAGATCAGCTGCCTCCTGTACAACTCCTGCTGCAGATGTGCCTGCAACCTTTCAGTCCTAAGGCTGATGCTCCACCCACTGAGCCAAACTGGCCAGGGCTGGCTTATCAATTTTAAACCATCCTTTTTACCTGTTTATAAGTGAAGTGACTTCCCAAATTATAGTCCCATTTCTCTTCCTGGCTTTATAATTCCTTTGCTTTGTAGTAAATATTTTTACTTAAGTATGCAAACCTAGCACCTTTTGTTTTCTAAAAACTGAGTATCATGCACAAACCCATCTATGTAAGTAGAATTCCAGATATTAACTATTCTAGTATTCAATATTCTATCCGCCACAGAATGGCACGTTTAACTTTATTCCATCAGCACTTTGGTAATATTCTCTTACCTCTTACAGATGAGTGATGTGTCAGCAGGAGGAGCCACTGTTTTTCCCGAAGTCGGAGCGAGTGTTTGGCCCAAAAAGGTAAACTTGGTTTGTGTCAGATACATCTGTAATTCATTAATTAAACGAGGAAATAAATGGTTAAAGGTAGTTTATTTCTGTTTAGGTAAGACTATGGATACTTCTATGACACTATTTACCATGACTGCCTAGTGCCATGGTCGGCAAACTGCAGCTCGCGAGCCACATGCGGCTCTTTGGCCCCTTGAGTGCGGCTCTTCCACAAGATACCACAGCCTGGGCGAGTCTATTTTGAAGAAGTGGCGTTAGAAGTTTAAAAAATTTGGCTCTCAAAAGAAATTTCAATCATTATACTGTTGATATTTGGCTATTTGGCTCTGTTGATTAATGAGTTTGCCGACTACTGGCCTAGAGTAATGAACCACTGAGGATTAGTACTTAAAAGTTTTCATTTCATTTCTAAAATAGGTTCCATATGAGTTTCCCTCTCCAGCCTGCTGTTAGTTTTAATACCCATTTGTCAAGCAGCTGGGTAGTAGTGTTTTCATGTGATTACCAAAATTTTATAAATGACAGTCATATTTTCAGAATTATATTAGAGGAAGATATAGCTGCCACAGAGGAGTACTTTCAGAGGAGCAGGGGAAATTGTAAATACTGCAGAGTTATAACCTGAAGTTTTATTTGTGGTAATTGTGTCTCCACAGGGAACTGCTGTTTTCTGGTATAACCTCTTTGCCAGCGGAGAAGGAGATTACAGCACACGGCATGCAGCGTGTCCAGTGCTAGTTGGAAACAAATGGGGTAAATATTTTCTATATTTTATATTTTCTATATTTTATGAGCAGGCTTCGTGATAATAGTTCCATATTTTGAAATTATTATAATCTACATCTTAAAAGAAATTGAAAACAAACCTTTTGACCAATTTGCCTGCTATGACTTTGATCAAGCTACCAATCTTTTTTTTTAATCCTTGCCCGAGGATAAATTTTCTATTGATTTTTAAAAAGGGAGGGAGGGAGAGAGAGAAACATCAGTCAGTTGCCTCCTGTACTACCCTGACTGGGGATTGAACCCGAAATTCCTTTATGTGTCCTAATCAGGAATCAAACCTGTGATCTTTTCTTGTATGGGACAATGCTTCCACCAGTGGAGCCACCTGGTCTGGGCAAGTTACTGATCTTAACATAAATGTACTTTTAATAGGTCAGAATTTTGATGACAGATTATTTCCACTTGTTACTCTAAGAATCATTAATTGACTCAAAGTTGAGTAAGACAGTATTTTCCCCTTAAGGGGTTCACAGTTGTCTGAGACATGCTAATTGATCAATTATAATGTCGTACATAGTAGTACAAAGGTATAAATGGAAGATGGCCACTCCTTACACTTGGGATAAAAGCCTCGTTTTTAAATTTGGTCTTGGGGATAGAAGATACTTTTCCAGGCATGTTAGGAACCAGGTCCAGGACTGTCATGGGTGAGAGGCATTCACTGTGCAGGATTTGCCACATAAAAAAAGAAATGGAAACAGGTTATATTTTAATGTTTTTATTCCCATACATCCATTTTAAGATTTTAGTGTGTCACTAGCCAAATTTCAAGTGCCCAGTGTGTCTATTGCCTACCGTATGAGACATAGGAAGATTAAGGAGTGACTTCTGATAACCATGAGGGAAGATTTTTAAAATCCTGGTGATGTTTGGGAACCACTGGACGAGAATGAAGAGAGGTTAGTGAAGGAGATCAGTTTAGAAAGATTTTTCCATTGTCTAAGTGGATGATGACAAAAGTGTGGACTCGGGCAATAGCTAAAGGATTGGAGAGCAAAGAAAAGCGGCAGGTGTGATGAAAAATTGGGCACAGGAGCTGAGAAAGGTAAACGAGTGTTTAAGAATTGTGGGTCCTGCCGGGACCAGTTTGGCTCAGTGGATAGAGCATTGGCCTGCAGACTGAAAGGTCCCGGGTTCGATTCCGGTCAAGGGCATATACCTTGGTTGTGGGCACATCCCCAGTGGGGGGTGTGCAAGAGGCAGCTGGTCGATGTTTCTAACTCTGTCCCTCTCAATTCCTCTCTGAGTAAAATCAATAAATTTTAAAAAATTGTGGGGTTTACTTCAGATATTTTGTACACGTGGATGCCATGGATTAGATTCTGTGATATAGGAAAAGGAATAGGAAATTAATTCATTGGGGTTACATTAGAAAACTATCTCGAAACTCAGGAAACTTAGCATAGACTAGTAGGGACTGATCGTAGTCTTCACTCTAAGGAGCAGCTCTATGTTCATTTAAAAATGTAGAGGTTGTATTTTGCAAACAGGAAAAACAGTGTCCTATTCTATTTGTACCTACATTTTAATTTCATTTCAAGCATTTTATTGGAATTAGAAACTTTAGGATACACACACATGTAGGATACACACGTAGACTCTCATGTCTAAAGTCTTCTGTGGCTCAGTTAGTGGAGCATCGTCCTGTACCCCAAAAGGCAGTGGGTCAGACCCCAGCCTGGGTGCTAACAGGAGGCAACCAATTGATATTTCTCTCTCCCCCACCTCTCTCTCTAAAATTAAAGAAAAAAAATCCTCACAGGGTTAAAAAAATAAAATCTGTGTTTCTAACATTTAGTGAAGTTTTTGAAAGACTAAGTAGCATCTATTTTTATTTAGTTTTGGCGTAAACATTTTATTCTAGAACTAGCTCTTATCGCTGAATTAAATAGTGGTTAGTGGGGAAAATGAACATATTTCGCTCTCTCACAGTTTCCAATAAATGGCTTCATGAACGTGGACAGGAATTCCGCAGACCGTGCGCCCTGTCGGAATTGGAGTGACGCGCGGGAGTCTTCCTCGCCGTGACTGACACCCCGTCCCATCTGTCCAGAGTTTACAAGTGACTAACATACACTCCAGGCCTGATTCATTATGGACCTCATCCGTGTTTCATCTGTGGACAATCACTAACTTTGTGGGTTTTTTCCTTTTAAAAGTAACACTAAATCACCGCATTGTACAATAGAAAACCTTAAAGTTCAGTTGGTATCACAGAGGACAAAGCAGTTCAAAATGAGGAATTTTTGCATGTTACATTTTAAAGAACATTCTGGTTAGATAAAAAATACACCCTAAGCATCTGATTATGGCACAGCACTGCCTCTCGGTGGGCGGTGGGGGGGAACAGGCCGTGCGATTAAGGCAGAGATGCCTGCAGTGTGTGCCTCGGCTGTCTGCTCTCCCGGATCTGCCTGAAGACTCGGAATGAACTAGGCCTCTGCTCTCGGTTCCATACAACGTGTGCCTCTCCCTCCACTTTCTAAGTAGATTTTCTTCTTCCCAAAGAACATATACTGTATTTTACCAACCCCACCTTCCTCTCACAGCTCCTTTGAGGAGAATTACCTCGGAGGTAAATTACTTTGATTTAAAAATTAACAGAAAGTCCTATATAACAACATGGGGGCTTCTTAACTAAACTGATCATCACTTGGTCTGTTTCTTTGTCCTTTTTCCTAAATGACTGATGATTTTGTTCATAAAATTTGCTGTTTTCTTAATGCTAATAATACCTTGCCTTTGCTACAGCAGGGTGGTGATACTGGCTTTCTGATTAAATAAATATTGTGCCTTAGGAGACTGGAAATTTTAAAATGCACAAGCCCTTTCCATGATGAGAAATTGATTATTTTTAAAAGATCTTTTTTCCTAAAAAGCCAAAATGTTTGTTTTTTCATTTCTGAAATGTGTTGTGACAACGATGACCTATTTATGATCTTAAATCTTTTTTTTTAAAAATGTTTCTGTTTTCTGTGTGGTATTTTTATATGTGAATGCATGCTATAGCAACAACAGGTTACTTCTATTTATGTAATTCTTTAGTACATAGGACTTGGGTTTATCCTCTTGGTTTCTATTCACTCTGTATCTCACTTTTATGGAAAAAAAATCTAGGCTCTGTGAACTCTCAGCTACTTAATCAACTGAATGTTTCCTCCAAAGGAGCTCTGTGGTTAGGGGTTATTACAATGACGGCACTTAAGACTTTCTCTTACTGAGACACATAGAAAGCTGTGGACCTATTGGAGTCTGTTAATGACCCTTTAGACTAACTTTTTACATTATTTTTCTTTAAAAAATTTGTGTGTGTATATATATATATATATATATATATATATATATATATATATATATACACAATTTTTTTTTTTTTTTTTTTTTACAGAGAGAAAGAGAGAGAGCTAGAAATACCGACTAACTGCCTCCTGCACACCTCCTACTGGGGATGTGCCAGCAACAAAGGTACATGCCCTTGACTGGAATTGAACCTGGGACCTTTCAGTCTGCAGGCCAACGCTCTATCCACTGAGCCAAACCGTTTTCAGCACTTTTTACATTTCTTATGGTGAATCCTAGTTCATACAAGGGCTCTTTTTCCTTTATGCAATATTTAAATATTTAAGAAAAATTTTGATTCTCTGGCAAAGAAGGTTTTATTTTTACCAAAAAAAAAAAAAAGTCCAGTGTTCCTTTTCCCAGCTACCCTTTTGTTCCACCATGACTACTTTATAAAAAATACTGAATTAAGTTCAGTACTTTAATCTACTCAAATTTTGTGATCATAGATGATTTTTTTTAAAAAGTTTGTGTTTTTTTTTTTTAAAAAAGGAAGCAACATTACTTCAGAAATTTAGAAATAGCTCAGCTAGTGTGGTTGAGCATAGAACTCTTAGGCCATGGTTCCATTCTGGGTCAGGGTGCAGGTTGTGGGCTTGATCCCCAGTAGGGGGCATGCAGGAGCCAGCCGATTGATGTTTCTCCCTCATCATTGATGTTCCTATCTCACCCTCTCCCTTCCTTTCTGAAACCAGTAAGAATATATAGGGGCTCAAAGGATGGAAACCTTTATTGCCATGTGTTGTAGCAAATAGTGTCAGAAGGAAATAAATTCCATAATCTCAGATTTCCTTGTTATATTCAGCCCCATGGGGGGATTGGTAAACTCTTCTCAGTGTTACATCTCACAGAACCTCTCAAGTTTCATAATTACTATTCTTTTCAAATGAAGAGAGAAAAATTCCAGGATAAAGCTTTGGGTTCAGTGATCTTTGCAATCCTTTTTGTTGTTTAATGGTGAACTTTCACGTTACTGAGGGGGTCATGGAAAATGTGGGAACTATGGTTTCCTCGTCAACCCAAAGTGCCTGTCATTCATCACTAAGCATGCAGTTACCACAGCCAACTGAAATCGCCACCAGAAGACTGGACAGCAGGGCGAGTGAGTGTGGTAACTAATAACTTGGTAGATTTTTTTTTTAATTTAATGACTAGCATTCCCAGGAAAGTGAAACAGTAAATAAAATGATGAAAGAAGTAATCAACTATCTACTTCGTTGAAAATATGAAATGGTAATTATAGTGTAGGAGGCTTGAGAAGAGTTAATGAAAGTGAAAAGACATAATATGTAAACTAGTGTGTATATACGTGTATATTTGTATATGATCTTATTGCTGAGAAAGACCTAAATATCCTTACATAGCCATATGTAACTGGTTGTGTGTATACAAGGTACCCACATAAGTGTCTGCTGAAAAATGAACAACTTATATGCAGGGTCCCATGGACTAAACAACTGAATTACTGGATCTTGCCATTAAGAAATTCACAGTATCATACTAAACAATACAACAAGAAACACACAACCATGATTAAATAATTATGTCACTTGAGGCAGAATGAACAGAATTACAAACCAGAGATCGCCAGGAGAAGGCAGGATGGGAATGACTCCTCAGTCTCTGTGGCCAGCACTTACCACAGTGAAGTAAGAGTTGGTGTTTTAGAAGAACGGCAGTAGATTGCTTAGAGAAAAAGAAGTGATCAACACTAGAGAGGACCAAATGGCCGGATTTCACATTCCTATTCTCCTGATGTCCTTGGATATTGCCCCACCATACTGATGAGTTTTGCAAAATGATCTGTAACGTTCCAGTAAAGTTCTTGGCTGCCTGCTTTCTTAACCTTTATTTATGGGCTGTAAAGTTTACTTTTCGTGTAAATGTAGCCTTCACTTAAATATATAACTGTATTTTGATGCAGGAAGAACAAGTTACTAAAAAACCCACATTAATAGTAAGGCAGCCCTATCAAATGTAAAAGCAGATTTTAAATAAGAAGGACCTCAGGGAGTGGAAGTTGGAGTGCTGCATCCCCACTGCAGCATTTTTCTGTTGAAATTGGTTTATAAAGCAAGAGAATCACAGGTAAAATAGACCCTAAAATAGATGGAAAAAAAAAATCCTTAGGTTTTTATTTGGTTGTTTCAATTTCCTAACAAGCTTATTTCTAGTAAAAACATGTCTTGGGCTTAGTACTTTAAAAGATTCAGAATAGAACATTTTAAGTAGAGCATACAGCGAGATGTGCACTTTTACATTTCAGGGCTTTTATGTTGATGAATTGTGTGTTGAGTCAACCTTTTCTACAAGAGGCTTTCTCTTATTTTTAAGTCCACAGAGAGCCAGGGTTATTATTGTAATATCGACTTGAAAGCCATAAATGTAATTAAACTCCACTGTAATGTAGGTTTCTATATGGGTTTGGGTAGATCAGGCGATAAATCATATTATGTAAATAACTACATAATGGTTAACATCTAATGACAGGTATTCTCTGATACCTGTATAATGAAACACTGTAGTTGTTTGTAGAAGATGATATAGAGGGAAACCAAGATGGCGGCAAAGATAAACAACTAAACTGCCACCTCGCACAATTTCAAAACTATAACCAAAAGACAAAACGTCTTATCACCCAGAACCACGGGAAAGCTGGCTGAATGGAAGTCTTACAACTAGAAGGAAAGAGAAAGGAGCACAAACGCTGAAAAGCTGAGGTACAGAGGCACAGGAATTGGGCTGGTGGCGGGCGACTGGGCATGCAGCTTTTTTTCAACCTGAAGGGAGATAAGCTCCCAATCACTCTGAAATCCAGTTTCTGGGAACACATGGGGACCCAGATGCCTTCAGGGAGAAGCTGGTCTGTTGGCCATCAGATTGGAAAGTGAGGGTGACTTTTTTGCAGAGGTGCGCACAACAATCACTGTTCACTGCGCTAGAGTGTGGGATGCAGGGATTTGAAAATGCAGAAAGGCAGAGAAGGCTTACAGCAGCCATCGCTGTTTGCCACACCCTAGCGTAGTGAGGCCCTGAGACCCCTTCCCGCACATTCAACAAACCTGCCCAGACTCCACACAGTGGCTTTTGCATATAAATAGCCTGCCCTGTGGCAGCTTAATGAAATAAACTGCAGCTCCGATCAGACTGTTCCAAAACTGCCAAATCCCAAGCAAAGAGGAAAGAACTATAGTTCTTGCTGTAGCTCCTGCTGGGTGGCCTCAGACAGTAGCTGACCTGCACCCCAATGGAGATCCAGAAACTAGTGATCGGTGTGAGACACCACCAGATTTCAACTAACTCTCATAGGGACAGTTTTAAGAGGCAGACTCAGAACCAAAGCCCTACCGGAACAAGTCCTGCCCCATAAATGTGTCTCCAGCTCAGTAATTCTTATGTTATAAACACAGCGGGTCCCCACAGCCAATTGGCCTAGAGGTCAATTTCTCTCAGTGACACCAACAACAATCAAGACTTAACTAAAACAAGGCTGTCCACACTGTCCACAAAGGGGTGCACCAAGAGTGTCCACATCAGGTAACTGGGAGGCTGACCCATTGAACCATATAGGACACCTAACACACAAAGCTACCCTACCAACTCAGGGAAGCAGTGAAAATAAGGACGCAAAGAAATATCACAAATGAAAGAAATGGAGAACAAA